GTGGTTACTAGTGTGTTAAAGGTATAAGATGCAACATTCGTTCTTGACCGTATAATTTATTATAATTTGCATGCTTGATAATAATTGTTTTATAGAAATACTTTGCATTGACCTTCAGTAACTCATAATTTCTATTGTAGGATTACCTGGAAAGCTTAGGCAAACCAGGTAAATAAATTTTCACAGCAGAGATGGTTCGCGATAATTCAGTGATAGTGTTACTATTCTAGATACTTTTTGTCCAATTTATAAGCTTATGAGATGATGAGCCTATTTTCTTAATTCAATTTTCATTTGCTAGCTGAGGGAGAAGATTCAAAATCTTACATGGATGCTTTATTCTGGATGATGTTATCTATAAATAATTTATTACAATCTATGATAAGGCATAAATCAAATTGGAAAGAGGTTGCTTCTGTATTGCTAAGGTTAGAGAATTAGAAGTAGAAGGGTATTAGAATGAATAGAATTGTTCCTATTTTGATTAAATATCATATGTACTTTATATTGACAGTGTGCATATACTATACTTAGCTATACGTAATATTGCTCTCATCACTTCAATGATCATTTTCATTTCAGATTCGATTCCTTATTGTTTGAAGCGGATTGGTACAAGTCAAGAACTAATGGTAGTTATGCCAATACTTGGAATCTTGGTTTTAATGAACTTCGTGGACAATACTACTGGCGATGCGCGGAACTCCTCATATATAAAGCTACTTCGGTACGTCTTTTTACATCACCTTCAAGTTAACTTTTGTCTTCATTTTGGGTCATACGAATTTTATATTTTGGCATTAGGGAGGACTTGCGCTTCCGCAAGCTGAAAAGGCGGCCTATACCTGTTTTTTGACAAGTTTCTTACAAACAGCAACTATAAGATGTCCCTCTACAACTGATATTCCTTGGGCGAACATTGAACGCCATCGCATCTGTAATCTACGTATGTAGAAATCTTATTAGCAAGATTGATACCATTTTATATGTGATGACTAATATTTAAATTTATTGCATTGCTACTCCTTGATAAGGCCTTATTTTAAGTGCTTTTAATCAACTTCAAACAAAGGAAGAACTAGACTATTACTATCGTGATTTTGCAACAAATGAGGTAAATACAGTAACGATATTTCGATTATTATAGGCTTATTTTGATTAATAGATATGTCCTCTATATTTTACAAGGGAGTATATTTCATTGTGAAAACATTATTTGGTTCACGTGTAAACCGAAAGGCGGTTAGTACTGTGCAATTATTCTTGAATTTACGAATTATTAAGATCTATTAATGACACTCTCCTACCAATTTAGTCCTTCTTTCTAAAAGATGCTGATTTTTCCAAAATTGACACCAAAATTTCACTGTTTGCCGTCGGCATAGATAATTATTCCGGTATTTAGCTGTTCATAGTATACATCTGCATTGATATTGTTAATGATTGTGGTCATTGCATTAATCTCAAAAAGCTTTGTAATCCTTTAATATTTACGTTATTTTTTAAGATTCTTTGTATAATGAGCGATCTTTAGAAAAAATCGCTTGGGTTTTGTCACATTGCTCAGAATTAGATTTACTGAATGCAGGTATATAGCTTCAGAAAGCAGTAAGATCTGTCAATTGTGATGAAGATAAATGAAGATGGTTTAATTATTTTAATTTATTTGCCTTTCAGTATCCGTCTTTACTTGCACCTTATTTAGCAGACTGGCGGTTACTATCCATCCAGCGCAGTATCACAAACTGAGGATTATCAGTCAAGAAGATATCCAGGTAAGTTGCTTGTGTTTCGAAGTTTGCTTTCTACTATTTTATATTGTTAACTGAAAATGATGCATAATCAGTACCATTTTCTCAATTGTTTAGATTTTCCTGTTCCTATTAGCATATAGTAAAAGTTATTCAAAGTTATCATTGGAAGAAACTTCATCTCGCATCGTAACTATTTCTTCTACTCAAAACATTTGGTGGAATGAAATATTGTTACTATATGACGGAAAAGATAGGTATATACAGATAGCATTTCCCTAAAATAGGAAATTGTCTCTGTGAGAATTACTGAAGTAATAGTTTTTGCTTGGATATTATTCTCTACCAGACCTGTTATAATGTTCTACTTATTGCTTAAAAGGCGCAATATTAACTGGAAAGCTGTCGAAGAGGGATTGAGAATAATTAGGCTTCAAAATGGTTCCTCGCCTCATTTAGAGCTAATTGTTCCACTTGCTAGAGCTTCGTGGAGACGGGTTTGTAAAACGAAATTTTTACGTATAAATGGGAGCTCCTATATCACCATGACTAAACTTTCATACTGTACTCGCTAGTTAAAAGATTGGATTAACGATATGAAAAGCAGTCATCCAACGTTGTCAAGTATAAATCAAGATTTTAATGTAATTAGATAGTTACTTATCGTGATACTAATATAATGGAGAGTCCAATTTAGATTAGGCCTATTCTGTTTTCTTACAGAATTATCATTCAAGATGCTGTACTTATTGGGAAATTATCTTAAAAGAACTCACTTGCGATCAGCAATACAAGTAAGTGCATTGACCTAATATGGTATCGTACTTTGCCCGTATTTATTTTAGGAATTAAAATTATATATATCATCATATAGTAAGCCATCAATTCTTGAAGATAACCTATTCCAGATATTATCGGTATGAGTCACTCTAGATCAATTTGCTTGATAAATAGGTCTTCTTATCTATATCTATACGCTTTTACATGCAGCTTATGTGATACTGTAATAGTAATCTTACATGTGTATTTAATATATTGCTTATATTTTGATAGGATTCTACCCTAGATATTTCCATTTACGAATGCAGAATGATAATAGCCGAGCTGAATGTGCAGCGTGGCCATGTAGAAGAAGCTTTAAACCATTACGAGTCGCTTGACGTACCAGAAGCTTTATGGAATCAGTTTCAAGTAATATTTATGTTGCTTTTCAATTTATTAACAAAAATCGTGGATTTTCTCATCGTTAAATTAAATAATTAATATTTTGCTCCATTCATGCCTTATTTAGATGTACATCTATATGTTCTTCAATCAAACTTCAAATAATGGGGATAGCAAGTTGTCACTTCTTGAAAAAGCAAAGCAATGTCTAGACAATTATCTAGAAAAATCGAAGGTAACAGAGGTAGGAATAGATACTGAGTACATATTGATTATATTAATTATAATATCTGTGTATCATCTACGATACTATCCTCTAACGTGACGCGTAATTTGCTAGGAGTCGACGAATGAAGATCTTACGATGGTGGAGAAAGAGCTCAATAACATGTTAAGTCTTTACAAAAGTTATGATGAAGGTAATATTTTGCCATCATGTATGTTGAGAGTTGAATTATGAAAGCAGTGAATTTGCTCTTCGCGATGTAGGTAAAATTATAGAGGCTGAAAATGACCCTAGAGGACTAAGTTTCCATGAAGAAGTTAGTATTTTGTGCTTAGAATATAGTATATAATGTAAAACTGTAATGATATATTTTCATTATCAAGTTTCCTGCTTTAAGAAATGGTATTTAAAATAAATATTTTAGTTCTCCTTCACATCTGCATACGATTCGGAAAGCGAAACTGCGAAAGATTTTAAAGTGGAACTTATGAAAGAGATCCTTCATCGTGATCAAAAAATTGAGCAATATAAAGATAAAGTTTCTAAGCTAGAGGTATAAATTTTAAATTTTAATATGTATTTGGAAAATTACTGCTGCAACAGTTAGAGCTGAATTTAATTTATCAAGTACTCCGATAGAGGCTTAAAATAATTGCTTGTAATTGTAATACTTTTTATAGTCTGAACTGGAATATATGAAAAATATTATGGACTCTAATGGAGTTCCATTTGGTAAGGGGCAAGATCATCGTACTGTTGGCTCCTTTAACGCCCAAAACGTCCTTGCTGATCTAAATTTGTCTCAGAAATCAAAGTTCGGATTTTTACCAGATACTTTCCCCAAAGGCCAAGTAGTCGATGATATTCGTAGTAATAAGCCAGTTACTACAAGAGGGCAAACTCACGATTATTCGTCTTTGGTTAATACTACTTCGGGATTGCAATTCGATTCAGACAATAATAAATGGAGCTCGGATTTGCCAACTAATGTAAATTCTACTTCATCGCCATCAGATATTGCAACAAAGGTAGATTCTGAATATTTACAAGATCGAAATATTCCACCACTCCGTATGTCATATACTTCGAATCCTAACGTCGTGATATCAAACTTTGGAGATTCTAAGGAATTACAAAGCGGTAATTCGATAGACGTTCCTAAACTGCCAACTTTTGCTTCTAGCGTTGCTGCAAAAACTAGTGGTAATGACCACCTGTCTAGTATCAGCGATATCGTAAGTGCAAGCGTTTACAATAGAAACGAAAGATCGGATTCTACCATTGATGTTGCCAACCAGAATTTACCACCACTATCGTGGGACCCTACCATAGTAGGCAGTGAAAACGATGCTGCAACTGGGCCGAATATCGCTACACAGTTCACAGGACATACAGAAATATCCACGGCTACACAGTTTACAGGACATACAGAAACATCAATGGCTACACAATTTACTGGACGTACAGAAACATCAACGCCTACACAATTCACAGGACGTACAGAAGCATCCTCGGATGGTAACGCTGATGACATTAGAGGGACATGGAAAGAAAACTATAATTTATTTCAGCCTTGGTCAAAAGCCAATGATTCTACTAATCCGCAAAGCTTTGTATCATCGCAAGTCAACCTTTCACCCCAAAATAATTCGCTTAGGCAGCAGCCTATTGAAGCTTTCCCAACCTTTAGTAGCGGCTTACAAAGTAGACCGATGACTTTTGAGTCAACAACAGATGAAAGTAATGAAAAGAAAGATAGCTTTGGCCAGTTATTTTCTTTTACCATGCCTTTAAAACCTAATGTTCCTGAAAGTCAGCCCCAACAATTTTCCTTTAAATTTATGAGCGATCATGATAGAATGGGAGGCAGCAAAGATAAAGATCGTAGTTCATCTGCCACTGATAAAGATGAAGGTAACGAGCAAAGTCCTGAAGACTTTACGCCAGATACTAATTTTAAACCAGTAGTAACTTTACCGGAAGTAGCTAATATTATTACTGGTGAAGAAGATGAAGAGGCGATTTATGGTGATAGATGTAAATTATTTCGATTCGATAAAACAGCGAAGCAATGGAAAGAAAGGGGCGTCGGCGAAATAAAGATTCTTAAGCATACCGTAGAAGAAAATCGATTTAGAATTATAATGCGTCGCGATCAGATTCATAAAGTTTGCGCTAATCATTATATTAGTAAAGATATGCGTTTAGGACCAAGTTTAGGCTCGAATAAGAGTTGGGTATGGTATACACCCGCAGATTATTCTGAAGGTACTGGAAATCCGGAACAGTTATGTGCACGCTTTAAAACACCAGAGATAGCGAATACTTTCAAATCCGTATTTGAAGAGTGTGTCGAAACACTTGATACAGAAATATCCAATACAGAAATTACTATAGATAATTCAGACAGCGATCAAAAAAATAACAAATCTGAGGACGATTTAACGACTAACGACGCTAAAGCAATTACAGAAAGTCCAGAAAAAATAGCGGAACCATCGTCTACTAACATTAACATTAAACTTGGGACAGACAAAGCGTTAATCGTAACCAAAGAAATATTACCAGATACTAAGCAAGTAAATTTAGCAACACACTTAAAATTACCGAAAACTTTCTTTTTACCGGAAAATACAACTATCAGTCATAATTCTATAAAAACCGTTAATAAAGATAGTATCTCAAATTCTATTAAAACAACTGGAGATCAAAACCCTGAAAAAATTGAATCGAAATCTTTATTCAAATTTAATCAAAAAATCGATAATAACGTAACATCGATCCCATCATTATCATCTCAATCATCCGATAGCGTCGAAAAGAATGCGAATAACGATAAATCAGAAATACCTGAAACAAATTATATGTTTAAATTCAATCAAGATGCTAGTCATAAAACATCATTTGCGTCATTAGCTGCTCAAACTACAAGTGATATATCTACTTCAGAGAATAAGCCATCGAGTATTATATTTCCAAATGCTAGTAAACCTCTCTTTGCAAAAGCGCTATCAAATAACGATAACGAAGATGGTAATGAGAATCCGGAAGAATTTACACCAGATGTTGATTTTAAACCGGTTATTACTTTGTCGAAGGATGTAACTATAGTTACAGGAGAAGAAAACGAAGAAATTACATATAAAGAACGATGTAAACTATTTCGATTCGATAAAACAGCGAAGCAATGGAAAGAAAGGGGCGTCGGCGAAATAAAGATTCTTAAGCATACCGTAGAAGAAAATCGATTTAGAATTATAATGCGTCGCGATCAGATTCATAAAGTTTGCGCTAATCATTATATTAGTAAAGATATGCGTTTAAAACCAAGTTTAGGCTCGAATAAGAGTTGGGTATGGTATACACCCGCAGATTATTCTGAAGGTACTGGAAATCCGGAACAGTTATGTGCACGCTTTAAAACACCAGAGATAGCGAATACATTCAAATCAGCATTCGAAAATTGTCTGGAAAGTATTGGTTGTGATATTCAAGAACCGGATAGTAAAAGTGAAAATATGGCGAAAGGTAATTCATATTCATCCGACTCTGCCGATGTTGGTACCAAAAGTACTGATAGCAGCAATGATGTAAAGTTGAAAAGTAGAGATACTAATGATGCGATCGCTTCTGAGAGTGGCGGTAATACAAATTTATGTAGTAATTCTGAAATTCAAAATTCAAACCTTCGAGATGCGGCCGCGAAATCTGTAAACAACTTTAGTTTTGATGCTATTGGTGTTGCTAACGCCAACAAAGTGGACGCGTCTTTAGGCGTATTTAAATTCGAGAAAGCTGATAATAAGATAGCCAGCAATGCGACGGATGTTGCAGATCTACCTAGCTTTAAGGATGTAAATTCTACAGAAACTGGAAGAAATATTCCTATTCAGTCACCAAAAATCGAAGAAAAATTCGATTCACAACTGATCTTTATTAAGGAATTAGTACCTGATAAAAATAAAATCCAAATGGCTACTCGTCTGAAGCTACCACGAAACTTCTTTTTAGCAGAATGTAACTTAGAATATGTTGAAGGATGTACCACCGATACAGTTGATGGCTCAAATTCTCATAAAGTTGTTGATGAAGCTAAGAAAGAACTTAAAATGCCATTTGCATTTATTTCAAATAAAGAAGAAACTATTACAGCCTCCTCTGCATCGTTAATGAATTTGTCGTCCGGTACTCACCGAACAAGAATCTAGCGACAAAACTGATACAAATTACGTATTTAAATTCAATCAAGACGCTAGTCATAAAACATCATTTGCATCACTGGCTGCTCAAACTACGAGTGATGAATCTGCTTTGGAGAATAAGTCATCGAATTTTATATTTCCAAATGCTAGTAAACCCCTCTTTGCAAAAGCACTATCAAATAACGATAACGAAGATGGTAATGAGAATCCGGAAGAATTTACACCAGATGTTGATTTTAAACCGGTTATTACTTTGTCGAAGGATGTAACTATAGTTACAGGAGAAGAAAACGAAGAAATTACATATAAAGAACGATGTAAACTATTTCGATTCGATAAAACAGCGAAGCAATGGAAAGAAAGGGGCGTCGGCGAAATAAAGATTCTTAAGCATACCGTAGAAGAAAATCGATTTAGAATTATAATGCGTCGCGATCAGATTCATAAAGTTTGCGCTAATCATTATATTAGTAAAGATATGCGTTTAGGACCAAGTTTAGGCTCGAATAAGAGTTGGGTATGGTATACACACGCAGATTATTCTGAAGGTACTGGAAATCCGGAACAGTTATGTGCACGCTTTAAAACACCAGAGATAGCGAATACTTTCAAATCCGTATTTGAAGAGTGTGTCGAAACACTTGATACAGAAATACCCAATACAGAAATTACTATAGATAATTCAGACAGCGATCAAAAAAATAACAAATCTGAGGACGATTTAACAACTAACGACGCTAAAGCAATTACAGAAAGTCCAGAAAAAATAGCGGAACCATCATCTACTAACATTAACATTAAACTTGGGACAGACAAAGCGTTAATCGTAACCAAAGAAATATTACCAGATACTAAGCAAGTAAATTTAGCAACACACTTAAAATTACCGAAAACTTTCTTTTTACCGGAAAATACAACTATCAGTCATAATTCTATAAAAACCGTTAATAAAGATAGTATCTCAAATTCTATTAAAACAACTGGAGATCAAAACCCTGAAAAAATTGAATCGAAATCTTTATTCAAATTTAATCAAAAAATCGATAATAACGTAACATCGATCCCATCATTATCATCTCAATCATCCGATAGCGTCGAAAAGAATGCGAATAACGATAAATCAGAAATACCTGAAACAAATTATATGTTTAAATTCAATCAAGATGCTAGTCATAAAACATCATTTGCGTCATTAGCTGCTCAAACTACAAGTGATATATCTACTTCAGAGAATAAGCCATCGAGTATTATATTTCCAAATGCTAGTAAACCTCTCTTTGCAAAAGCGCTATCAAATAACGATAACGAAGATGGTAATGAGAATCCGGAAGAATTTACACCAGATGTTGATTTTAAACCGGTTATTACTTTGTCGAAGGATGTAACTATAGTTACAGGAGAAGAAAACGAAGAAATTACATATAAAGAACGATGTAAACTATTTCGATTCGATAAAACAGCGAAGCAATGGAAAGAAAGGGGCGTCGGCGAAATAAAGATTCTTAAGCATACCGTAGAAGAAAATCGATTTAGAATTATAATGCGTCGCGATCAGATTCATAAAGTTTGCGCTAATCATTATATTAGTAAAGATATGCGTTTAGGACCAAGTTTAGGCTCGAATAAGAGTTGGGTATGGTATACACACGCAGATTATTCTGAAGGTACTGGAAATCCGGAACAGTTATGTGCACGCTTTAAAACACCAGAGATAGCGAATACTTTCAAATCAGTTGTTGAAGATTGTATTGAACTGCTTGACTGTAAGTCAACAAGCTTACCTAATGACTCAAATGCCGTAGTTGTTGAAGAACGTGGAATCAAGATTGCAAATTGTGGGATTACTGGAGTAGACGCTAATAAAAAAATTGAAAGTACTTTAGCATCTGAAAATTCAATAGGACTTTCATTTGAGCGTTCTACTGGTAATTGCAATTTATCATCAATCTGCCAATCGTTGACACAAGCAAATTTACATACACTATTTGCAGGGGCTGGATCTTTGATATATGCTAATTATAGGAATATGGACGGTGCGAAGGCATTTTTACTTCAGCCAAACATTTCCTTGCAGTCGGATAAATCTAAAGTTTGTACAAATGTTGATAAGGATCAGCAGGGTAATGTTAACGATCTTGGTTCACAACCCAATTTTCAGTTTTCAGGGTAATGTTAACGTTTGCCTAATGTTTGTTTACAACACACCTATTTTACGCTCAATGACCGATGTAATGAATTAATTTTTGCGTTTCTTCTACTAGATCATCAATAGACTGAAGAGTTTGGCTTATTTATGAAATACTGTACAGTGTTCACACAAATTATAGTAATTCGAATTTAGACTGGATAAAAAGTGTTCTGCAAACCGCTGCTTGTATAGACTTATAATTTTATCTGTATATGATTTGTATGATACGACCATAATTTTACGTAACGTACCTTTAATGCGAAATTTTTCGAAATTAGTCTAAGTCTTCGAGAGCATTCACTTAGTCGCCGCATATAGTGCTTCATTTAACGAAGTACTTGTTGGTTTATGAACGGTTTCTGCGGTAGATACGGATTTTATATCTTCATAGTTTAGCGTTTGCTCCTATGTTTGCTGCCTAGGTAGTAAAGATAATTTAATGTATATTTATGTAGGGTTTGTACACTCTTTCATTAACAGGAATAAAATTAAAGACACAAAAATCAAAGCGAAACTTATTGTAGTTGATAATTATGAAACTTAACTTTAAGTAATCTCATTTGAAAATTCAATCTGTAATATATTGAGAATTTAGGATCGATACTTTGCCGTTTAATTCAAGAATACATACCATTGTTCCAGTAAAGCTTGAACTAGACTGTTTATCAAGGTCGATAAGGGTACATTCGGTACCTCGTTTAAAATTAGTGTACAGTATCATATAGAGCTTACCCAGGTATATGCAGTTTAACACAAGAGGATAAAATAAATGATGTACGCATGCATCATACTCGTGTGCCCAGCTAGTATCATACGATAATACTGAAATTTGGATGACGTGAATACGAGTAGAGTTCTTATTGCTGAGATCATACAGAAGTAAATATAAATTACAAGGTACGTATCTACCATCTAGTACTGTAATAATGCTCGAATGCGTTCGATGTACATATAACAAGCAAGAATCTAAGTAGCATAGTTTATAGTTATGTCTAGAGGGCTTATGCCTGCAACAATTTTAATAGCGTACTTTGTCCGCCTGGTAATAATTGCCGGATAGGTTTTTGTGCCATGTACTTGCTATGCACTTTCCTATGATGTTCATTTAGTCTATTGTTACAAATATAATTACTATGCTAATACTATGAGATGGACCCATGTGTACAGTAGAGTAAATAGATATTTCTGTATATTTATTAACAGCTTACTAAAGTATCTTAAATCTATCCTGTAATTGTCATCATATCTTTACTGTGTGTAGAGGAATTTAGATGCTTCCTTAATTTATTATATAGTCTTAAAGAGCGTGTTTAGTCGATTCTATAATTAATTAATTATTAGCACAATTCATGTCGCTTTACTGACAGAGACAATTCCTGTACTAAATTTTCAATTTCTACAAAAAAATGGTTGCTATACCCAGATATGCTTTCAATTCAAGCCGTTCCTTATCACTAATAATTATACGAGTAGACTAATACCATAGCATATTAATATAAACGGCATCTACAGTCTTGAATATAACTAATGCGATAGTATATTGTATATATGTGTTATGTAGTATAACATGGTATAGATCCATACGTGTACTTTCTTAACTTTTTGATACTTCATACTGCTTTAACTGGCATGGAGGATTCTATACGGGTATATATATATATATATGTATATAGTATATTAATTATGTTACATACAACATCGATATACAATTTTCTTTAGAAATCTAGTCTATCGAAGACCTTCAAATTTATGGTATGAACAAGCTAGCTAAAATTATAGCCGTAAGATTTGCCATTGCATTAATGTGATGAAGATACGTATCAGGAGATTAACGTACCTGTTTCATTTCTAACCTGGATAAAAATTTAGCCTAATTTTATTTAATAATAGCTATCGGCCTTTGTTCACAATGAACGGCAAGAGTCAGTAACAAGTGCTATCGCAGCGCTATAATATCTAGGTCCTCCATATCTAAAGCTAATGCTATATATATATATATATATATATATGATTGTCTATATTGATTCACAATGAACGGGAATTGTTATAATATATATACCGGCCAATGTGTCCATTTAGCTGCCGATAACCCTATCTAGCTGCATTATATCTAAAGCTCTTGATTGAATGATCTTGAATACCGGTATACTTCTTTTTAATGATCAATCAGAACTGATAGCTTGTTACTTAGTCTAAATTTTATTTCTATATACAAATGGATTTGCTTTTGCAATTGATTATGTGACCTTTAATATTGTCATAGTTATATAATGATAAATTAGAACTAATAACTAGTTATCTACCATTACTAATAATACACCGAATTAAATATAATTATTGGGCTTTTCGATACCGCTTCAATTCGTTTCACGTTAGTCTACAGTATAATTATGATCTTAAATGTACAAAGATGAGCTTCTACTCGTTTTATTTGCTTGTTTTTGCTTTATTCTAAATCTAATTCACAATTAACAATAAATAATGATAGTTAGTTAACCCAATCTTGAGCTTATTCATCTATAAGGAACTTAGCCTACGCTATTCTATAGTGATTGAACTATTGTCAGGTACCGTATGGATTGCAATACAGTACTCCTGTTTCCACCAGCTTGCAGTTTTTGGACGATTGGACGCTCGGACAAGGGAACAAGGAAGATCGAGTAGACCGCCCTGTTGCCTATCAGTCAATCTGAAGTATTGATACCAAAACATGGCTAGTAGCTTATAGTAGAGCTATAAAGGATGAATGCATCAAGTTGGTATAGCCATGATAACTGCAGGAGATGGCCTATATACGTCAAGTATCGATACTGGAACATGATACAAAAGTCCATAGTAGAGCAGTATAATTTCGTCACGGTAAAAGGTTGAGGTTGGCTTCTCAAGTAGTGGCAGCTTCGTTTCCACAACCTCCTTCGACCTGGTAGAGAGCTTGCCTCCATCTTGATCATCCTATTAGAGTAGAAATATTATTCCTTTCCTTGATCAAATTGAGGATTTAATTGCGGTCTACTGTCCAGCACAGCGAAATGGGTGCTGGGCAATCTCAAGAACAGCGTGTAACTTTCGAAAAGCAGCCTGATGGTGGCGTTTTTGTGGTATGTTGTAAGAGGATGTTCACAGCTTTGGACATTTTGCTGCAAACTAGAATAGCAGAAATGAACATTAGCAATCCTGCAATCGCTTCGTATAGTGCTATTTGTTATTGTAGTGATGAATTAGCTAGATCGCTTTAGTCTAGTGGTTTTCTACTATGATTTATGGACATTAAATACCGTTAAGACTGTCATGAAAGGAGTCATATTGTCGTTATTATCAAGTGTTGTATAGAGTGATGCATAAGTTGAAGTAAACAGCAATGCGAATAAAGAATAGGTAGACTTTCTCTCCCAACCATTACTATGTGGATAGTTTATAATTGCTGGACTTCGCTGTATCAATTCAATGTTATAGCGTGTTAAAATGGAATCTTCTTGATATTGTTGTTAGCTGTTGTTATACCGTATTGAATATGCTTTCAGTAATATAGATGAGCGGTTAGGGGGTAGTAGAAAGGATTGCCATCGCTATGGTGCAATCTGTTGATAAGAAAGAATTTACTCCTGTTCAATAGACCTTTCTCCTGTAAATACTATAAAGAGTGTCGATGAATTATTCTTGGGCCTGTTATACTAGACAGATATCATAATCTTTCAATATGAAATGTTCCTTATTATCACCAGTTGCAGTAGCGCTATAACACATAACTAATAATATATTTTATACTGAGAATACCTGTATAGTCTTCGAGTACTCACTGCTCAGGTATGGAAAGATATGTCTATCGCTGTGTAGGTTAAGCCTCCCCATTTCTTCATTCTGTAAGCTGTTTCTGAGATTATTCTCATTCTATATTTTAGCTATCACAGAAAGCTCTGGAACAGTTATCAAATACATCAGCGCAAGGTAAGCTGAAATTATTGTAGAATCTTTTGCTTGCTATCATTTTGTACACCTATGAACTGTTAGAAATTATATCGGTACAATTTCTAGTAGTCCATGGTGCACATTAGTCATATTGATGACCTCTACGCACCTCTACAACATGTAAATTCTCAACTTGACACTATAGTATTAAAATATGACTTCTCTTCAATAAGAAATATATGCAGTACAATAACGAGTTTTCGTCGGGAAATGTATACTATGTTAACGTTGATACGAACTAACGCCTCTTTTCGATATCATTCCTGGATGTTGCCTGGTATTTTCAATAAATCAACCATCAAGATTCCAACCGTATCGAAGATTTAGCTCAAAATGATAAAGTTAAGAAATTAATGCACAAGGCTTATACGGAGGTAAATAAAGAAAATACAAAGCTGTAGCTTGAAAATTAAGCCATACATGAAATAGAACTGTTTAATTGCTTAAAATGCTTCATTTTATTGATGGAAATATTTTTGCCATTATAACTTTAATATTGACCAAATTTAAAGTACAGTAGCTGTTTCTACTATCGATTATGCCATCGTGTTCGTAACTATGCTGAAAAATTCGTATTTCACAAATGCTCAGCTTGGCTTAGATATTATGATATTACGATTATTGTTAATAGTCAATTCCGTGCTCAAATTTGATGGTGAAATTATTATTTGATAAAACAATAACTAGGGCATGCGGCATGAAAATGAACGAATGGAAAGAATGAAATTTCAAGAGATATCAGAGTTAAATGCTAATTGGCAGGAAGAAGTGGATAAATTAAAGCAAGAGGTATGAAAGAAGAGACGCTGCTATCATATTTCTATTAAGAAAGTAGTAGAATGCAAACTTAGATGTGCTCGAGTTGATACTAGGTTAGCTTCGTCAATGTAGATGATCGTTGTTAACATGTAGACTTTCAATCTCAGGGGTTAATTCCACAACAGTTTTGATCCCTCGCCTTCACATATAATCAGCATACTTCAATAATCATTTCAATACCGGCTAGGATAACATTAAATTAGTTTAAGTTGGCAATATAGATCAGATATATCTACTAATTGTGTTGCAGCTATTCCCTCAAATACATGTACTGGCAACTGATAGAGCTATAATTTTTCGCAATTATGTTGATAGGCCGAGGTTGAAAAGAAGGTAACAGAGGAAGAATTTAATAAAGCAGCGGAAGAATTTGGTCAAAAATTTAAGTAAGGACTGACTGCCGTTGCGACAGCCATATTATTCGTGATTAACAACTAATATCTAATAGTTACAACAATTCCAGCGTATACAGTAATTATGTACATTCCATGTTACGATTGTAATTATACTGTATTAATCTGTATAGTGGATTGATAGTATGACATAATGATACAAATATTGTAGTACCATGTATGTTTAGCTTTATATTCAAGCCTTCGAGATTATCAAATATGCACTTGTGATGATTTTAGTTGTTCTAACAATCTCACAATATCAATTAGGATTAAAAAGTCTTTTAATTTTTACTTTGATTAAAGGGACTAAAAATATTCTAACTAGGCTTACCGTTACTACAGTACAATGGAATTGATTGTGTTATAAAAAATTTTTTTTGAAAATAGGGAGCCCATCAATGTAGGTGTTTGTCAAGATTTACAAGATGCACTCGTAGAATGCTTAAGTAAAAATAATTCCAAGCCGTTAATATGTTCGAAAGAAGTACAGGCCTTCAGTAAATGCGTCGATAGCTATAAACTCGTATGTATATTACTAATGACATATTTGCTATGTAATTTAGACGCATTCTGCACAAATTAATTCGTACAATATTCTTCCATTTTGTTCTAGAAATCGTTCTAAAATAGTTACTGTCTCAAGACTACTGCACTGAACAATATTCGACTTCTGGAAATTTGCCCATTTACTTCAGTTCAACTAGCGATTGATGGATTATTCTAACATTAACGCCATTTTGTGAACCACATAAGTTGGGCAGTCTCGCGTAAATACCAAATAGCAATTGGTTTGGCTACGATATACCCAAAGATCTTCTTATAGCTATTATTATTAACTGTAATTTATACAGTAACAGGTTTTGTAAGCATTCTCTTTATTGCAAACCTATTATTGTCAGGTAATACCATTGTAAGTTGGTTGTGAAAAATTTTAATATTTTGAAATAAAGCAAGCTAAATCTTCAAAATTCTGAATGTACAAAAAAATTCTTGATGTGATGGACGAAATACTCATATGGAGCTGAGTGTCATTAGCTACAATCTATTGTCTATTTTACAAGAATTGCGAGCATCTTCTATTCTTTTGCAAATATGTTAATAACTGTTATTAGCATCACGCTAATTCTGATTCTTTCATGAATAGAAATTGCAATTGTAATTTTTACATTATTGCCAAGTTGATCACGATATTCCGTACATTCAACATTTTCGGATACAGTTGCAAATATTACAAGAAGAGATTTAAAGGAATTTTTAGAAACAAAGCCACGTGAAAACAGAAAGAAATTTTTTATACATTAAAAACGGAAATTCATAAAATTGCAATCAGCAATACTCCAGTATACAACAGTAAATGAAGACAAAATCAAGCGATTCCGCCTTAGGTTAAGGGAGAGGAGAACGACCTAATAATTAAGAAAACCGAAAAGGTGTGCATTAATATGCGCATCGAAATGAAATTGTATATTGTACCTAGCATTACTTTTGTTTCCTCCGACACTTAAGTTTCGCGAATGACCCTGAGGTAATTTAAAGGATATCCTAACAGCACAAATACATTTATCTTACAATTACTAAACCTTGCACAGGTATATACTATTCTGATACAGTTGCGACACAAATAATTAATAAAAACCGTACACAATTGAATATGCTCAAAAATCCGTAATCGCTAGAAACTAAATACTACAGCATATCCTGTTACCCGCTAGTACCACCAACTGATGGGGATCCAACTGGGCTGACCGGTTCAAATGGACTGCCAGTTTGTTTAAAGAATGGAGAATTAAACGAAGTCGTAGGTGTTGAAATTGGAGTTGAGGAATTCGATCCAGCTTCAGATACTCTTCTGGAATCAGCATTGATTCTTCGATTACGATATTCAAGAAGGCTAACCTAATAAATCGATTCATTTTACGGTAAATAATTTTATCATCATTAGCAAGTAAACCTTACCAAGAAGAACTAATTTTAACTAGAGATAACATATTATTCATTCAGTACCTTCCTTCGTCCGGAAGATGATGTTTGAGATGGTGTAGCGCTTTATTTTATATAAAAGTGTAAGTTTCATTACTAAATTGTTAACTCTTAAATTTAAAGTTTAATGCATGTTAGTTTTCCAGGACAAAGACATACGTAGATGGAGTAGCCGCAGTCAATTCAATTTTAGGAGGAATCTTTAAATTACGATAATAGGGTCTTTTCCTAAATGGCAAAGGATCGATTTTCTTAGTTTGAGAAGGCTTGTAATCAGCTCTTCGTTTAATAATTGGGAAAGCTGAAAAAAAATTTATCACTATTCATTCCAAGCATTTTGCTTTAAACCAAGATAGTGATATCAACAAACGCTATCCTGTTGTGGTAATATAAACTACTCACTATCTGGAGAACGATTATATGTATCGCTTTGATTCGAACAGTCTGCTAGCTTGCTTGACGAGTTCAAGTAATCCTCCAATTTTCTTGTTAATATCCACCTCTACAATATACATAGTAGAATAGCAGTAGTCAAGAGAGTTGTCGTTCACAAGTTAATAAAATCATAACATCACATCTAAAAAATTGATCGCCAAACCTTCTTGTAACAACCATAGCCATCGCTAAGATCTTTCATAACATTGATGATATTATCACCATTTTCCTTATTGTCTTTTCCCTTCGTAACCTCTTGATATTCCAGTAGTAATCGCTAATAGCAGTAAATATAACTTCAGTATTGTGACAGGGAAAACTTGAGTGATTAACTTAAAATTATCAAAGAAGTAATACCTTTCTCGGGGGTATTTCAGTATCGACGGAAATACCACAATCCACAAGATTTTGTTTTGTCTCCGTTAAGGCTACTGCATAGATATCATCATATAAAAATGGTGCTGATTCCGTTGGAGATGTAGGCGCGGTAGAAGTAGTTGAAGTTGCATCAGACATGTCGGACGTTGCATTAGTCCTATACCAATAGGAGTAATTCTTCATTCAAACTATTCACACATAATTCATCCAATGTCGAATCATATCACTTACCGACTATGTGACCGAGATCTAAATGCACAAGCGCCCTTACTATACAAATAAGATAAGGCGTTCTAAGTTATCGAAATCCCAAACAATCGGAAAAAAACAAACCGCTACCATCTATAAACTATTCTTTATTCTTCACCTCCGTTTTAATTTAATGCTAACTTCTTCATCATCGTTGCCGCTTTGTCCAGCTTCATTACCCCTTTGTTAATGTCATTATAACTAACGCTTACAAATCGTTTCTAGGTATCTGCTAAATACGACAACTATAATACTTACTTGCTTTCGCGTCTTTTCCTTTTCTCGCCCTTTTCCATCCTTTCGAATGCCTACATAGCAATGCCAGGATTAGTATAGCATCTTTCATTCACTCTCCGTCATTCTCATCTTACCTGAACAATTGCTGCAATCTTCATTTCTTCTCTTGACTATTTAAGAAAATTTATCAATTTAATTTCTAAGATAGTTTTCATACTTTTTCAATGAAAGGGAACATTACCAATTTCTTTGGTTTGCAAGGTACAGCAGAAGAATCAGCAGAACTAATACCATCAACGTCTACTGTGATTTCGACATCATCAGTAGATTCTGATTCCACTGATGTTCTCTATAGAAAACGTAATAGATCAGTATCTTATCCGGTTGTCATGATACACTTCTTATTTGTACTAAACATACCTTTTTCCTCTTAATTTGATACATATCCGAAGTGTCTTCATCAATTGATGTCTGTGCTCGTTTAGGAATGGGTCTGTCCGGACTGCAATATTGGCAAGTGCGAACAGGTACGTTAATAATATAATTATATAGAACTTAAAATTTGGACAATTGAGTAGACGTACAGGCACAAAATGATATTGTAATAAAAACAAGTATATCAGTTATACAGTAATCGACTAATTAAGAAAGTATTTCAGCTTAAACTAATCGCTATAAGACCATTAAAATTATTCTTTGTACTGAAATAATAAAAAGAAAGCATACTCCTTATTACTTTTTAGTTGTGCATTACATACTGCCCACAATAATATACCGAGAATTATATGTTACATATATTATTGTATCATAACTACTGGTTCTATATAAAAGAATGCGTAGGGTACATTACGTTATTAAGATTCATTGTCTAACCGGAAAATAATACTCGTCAACGTATGCGAATACAACTAATAAGATTGTGTTTATCTATTTTAAAATCAACTATTACGAATAGAAAGTGTTTGACCGCAATTAAAATATCTTCATATATTCTCCTATACTGTACATAATAGGATCTACTTACGAAATTATAACATCTTGAGACTTGCTTCTTAGCGTTTCTCGTATCTTGCATTGATTAGTATCGCAAGCACAATCCACGTACAAACTGTCGAATCATAATGATTTATAATACAAGCATGAATCACAGAGACTAAACAGGCAGGATTCAAACATAGCAGCTATTGTTATTATTACCAATGGCTAAAATCAAAATCGAAAGGAATTGTAATTTCTGTTTTATCTTTGATGGGTTGAGTTGCGTAAGCACAAATATGAATTTGATTATCGATAACCATAGGATATAGCTATTACAAAGATTAAAATATAAGGTCAAAAACTCCATTGCAAACCTCAGCGATATCATTACAATTAAGACTGTTCAAGATAATTAAGCGTTACTACCTCACAATTCGGACGACAGGATCGACGAATGAATCGAGCTTTATTGGAGTATTTTCTAGCATTAACAAAAAATTTTGTTAAAGCATCTTTTCTTGGATGTCAATTTGTGATACCCTTGTCAAATATTTCTAACATCTCTTACCTTAGATCAATACTAATATCATTTTCACTCTCGTCAAGCGCGTAGGTTAAGATAAAGGGACAAGCTCTAAGGAAATATAACAGCGTAAATTCTATCAGTAGGGATAGGAATAAAAATAACCGTTAAAATTATTACGCTACCCGATTAATTCGGAGTTCGCTTCTTTAAATTTTTTTTCTGAATAGTAATGACCCTGTAAAAAAGTTGGGTTTCAGTAAGTACAAAAGGCAACGAACGATATTACCTGACAAGTAGTTGATACATTATATTAAAGACATGTCATATGCCCTATACGGTATACCTGATATACGATAACAATTTGCTCTTGCAGAATATCTCGATTAGCAAATAAGGCCTAGCAGGAAGTCGATGAACGACATAGAAATTAAAACACAGTCAAGTCAACAAGAGAGGGATTATTATTAAAAAGATAGTGATGATCTTAGGCAAGCTAAGAATATTAACCTTCATATGTTTTCCAATCGATGCGGCGATAGTCACTTCATCCAGGAATTTTAACGAATCTTTGGAAATGGACTATACATTAAGCAGATACATCAGTGCAAACAGTTTTCAACATTGCAGCAGTTTATACAATAAAGAAAAAATTACACTTATTCGGTAATCATTTTATTATTTCATACTATAGACGAATTAAGCAGGAGATGCTTACATTTCGGTAGAAAATTGGAGTTTCTAATAAATTTTGATCGTATTTGGATTCATCAGTCAACTCATATTTTTTCCTAATAAAACATTTTCAAAAATAAGGCCTACAACACGATAATAATTTAAATTAAATGAATGAGGAAATGGACTAACTGTCAATACCTATAATAATTTCTCCACTTTTGCTTGGCAACGAGATAAGGATCTATCATCATATAATTACAATTATATTAAGTGAAGCGCAAATGGATTTAAACATAAATATAGACAACTGCGAAAAATATCATTCGCTTTAGAATTGTATGGTGAGTTTTATACATAAAAATATTGATCTTACTTTCACTGGTTGAATGTTCCTATTGCGATAATAAATAGATAACATTTAATGTTGAATTGTAATATTACCAATTAAAGTGTTTATAAGATTGATAAAAAAAAGCAACTGTACTACCTTTAATTTGCTTCGTTTCTGAATTCCCTGAGGCTATGTGGATAACATTTTTAATTACATAGAAGAATTAGTTGATTTTATTGCAACATTTTTTAGCAACGAAAACTTAGTGTCATAACTGATTTCAGTTTTTACCTTTAGTTTAGGCTGCTTGCCTTTTGTCTGTTTCTTCTTTTTCAGATCTATCATGCCCTTCTTATGATCGCCATCATCGTCATCATCGTCTTCTGCATCTTCTTCTATAGTAAATGTGAATCGATAAATGTAACAGGAATGTCAAGCTTACTTTAATGAGCATCATTTTTAAAACTACGTATACTATAACACTGATAATTTGAGAGTATAACTTGATAACGGTGATCGCTCAGCTGTCGTCATGAGTAAGGCATACCAACCTTTCATTTCTTCTAACTTTTTCAACTGTGCTACTTTAGCACGCTCAGCATCAACAGGCCTACATTATAGTTACATAGTAATGGAATATCGTTCAATTCTAGTTGATACTAAGGCATCAGTATTAGCAATGATACATATTGATGGTCTTACCTAGGATGGCATTGTTCACAAAAGTAAAGTTCAGGTATGTCATCACTATGGATTCCCATACATAATAAATGTTGCCAAACACTATCATATCCAAAATCAAGTTATAACGATCTATTAATAGCATGCTTCATTGGTGTAAGCTATTGCATCATAAGTACCAACTACTAGAAAGTACTTTACCCGCATTTATCACAACAGATCATGTAGCCATCATCGTGTTCCATACCACTAAAAAAAGGCAATCAATCATTGGATTAAGCATGAATGGCGATGGATTTAAATATATAAAATAGGCTATTGATTGATCATCAATGTAGCCGTCATCTTGTCATTGAATTAGTGTAGTCGAGAGTATGATTCCTATATGCATTTCGATAGAAATGCCAATAACATTGATGAATGGCATTCTTGGATGGAATTCATGTTGAATTATTTCTTGTCCAACTTACCATATACACCTTGTGACACCAGTATCTGACGCTTGTGGTGAAGTTTGTTGTCGTACAGGTTGTTTCTGGCCATAATTATGATCCTAGAAAGAAATAAAAGGATGCATTTTATGATTTTGGGCCAAGACAATCTATCCCAAGATTTCCTAGTAGATATCGCTCGATGGCATTGCAAGAATGCCAAGTCCTGTACTGTAACAATTGCCTATCGATTGAATTTGAGCCATAGACTCTACTCTCTCACTCCATCTTTACTGTGTAGCGATGATCGTGAAAAGGAAGAGCATGGTCATCGCTTACAGGATAAGGTAATTCAGCAACAACAGCGTAAGGCTTGCAAAGATCCGTTGGAGACAATGGAGTTTCCATTTTATCTTGGACATTCATATCCTCTCTGATGAATTGTTTTAGCGCCAGCACAAAGTCAACTCATGAAGAAACAGTCTTGCTTTAAGCATACTATCATGTGCCAATATCTTCCTATGGCATCCAATGGCTAATCTACTCTCTTACCTTGCCTTTAAATCGATGTTGTGATGATAATTTTAGCTACAACAGGCTTCCCTTTCCTTCTGCCAACGCGCCACAACAGAGTTGGAAGTTATTGCGTTAATGGCTTGCTGCTGCTACAATCCATAGCTCAAGACCTTACAGTACAGTATACTGTATTCTAGGGTCTCTGGTACTGTACTGTGTCTCAGAGACGGAGTCAGCTGGTGTTGCGGCGGCCATGTTGATTTGGGTTGCAATACCTAAGTGTCCAAAACAGAGTGGACACGACAGTCATCTTCTAGTAGTAGGAATCCAGTTGAGTGGTTTAGCTTCAAAAAGGCATTGATGCAATTTTTCTGCCGCTTTCAATGGCGGATCAATATGGAGATTGAGCTACAGGCAACAATTACTTGTTTAATAGAGTTTCATCGAATTGATCCTATCCATCTTGATCCCAGGGATAGATAGATAGACCATGGAGGTAAAAGGTTCTTTTACCTGCACACAGTGCTGAACTCTATCCTATACTTCTCCATATTCTATACAGAGAGTATTAGAAAGCAGGTTAGAAAGGGCTGTGCTGTTTTTAGCGAGGTGTACGCCAAAAATCGACATGGAAATGGAACTTCTTCCATACATAAACTGCTTTAGTGTTTGAACAAGTGTAGGAGAAATCGATGTGGAAGTGATTAGGGTTTACTAAACCCGTAGCAGCAGTATATGCAGCATAATATAGTACTAGTGCTGGACAACCCTGTCACTACTGTACGTGTATATATATGTACAGTACTGTATATATGGCGTATCTTGGCCTTTGAATAATGAAATATAAAGTAGCCCATCAGTTAATGCGTAAAGACTGGCTTGATGACTTCTAGCATGCTGTATACTATCAAGTAAAACAAGCAACTGTCCATAAGGCTAGCAGTTTTTGTTCCTTACAACTGGTTTTATGTCTTCTTCAAAATGTTTTAAGAAAATAGTCTAATCTAGACAGCTCTATTTGCTCTTGTACAGTAGCTATCCAAGCGTTGATGCATCTTTAAAAAGATACATTACTCGCATGTAGGGCAAGCATAAGAGCAAGAGTTTTAGTCGAAAGTCATAGCTTAACTTTGCTATCGCATCGTTAAGTTTAGAGTTATGAGCTGGAACAGCAACCACAATCTAGCAGTTGCAATCATCACGGAACTACTTAACTTACACATTGACAGTCGATACAGTTACAGTATGTGCCTCGATGCTGAACATGGACTACTAAAATGGATCAATGGCAGTAGAGATGTTTCTATGTACGACTATAAAAGTGTTGGCAGGACTTGCAATTAAAGTATACCCATTCCTATGGATATGGCAGATAATAGAATCTCGCGATAGTAATGTCTAGTTTAGCTCAAGTCTTTATTACCGTAGAATTGTTACTTTATCAAGCTTTCATACATACATCCTATTTGTGTTGAAAAAAAAAATGTCAGAATGAATCTCAGCAAAGTATGATCAGAAGTATTGACATACTCCTCTATCACTCAACTACTTTACTGGATAGTAACCATAAGCGTTCATAGGGTAGAAACGTAAGCATAAAGCGAAAAAGCAAGATGTGTTCATTAAAAATAGTGTTATTCCTATCAAACAGAGATGGTTGAAACGATGTAGAATCGACGCAGTAGTCTCTGCCTACATAACTGTTGCGAAAGGCATGAAATGCGTCGTTAGCAACAAAAATAAAGATCCACTTTATAACCATTTTAAGCTCAAGCACGATCTAAAAAGGGTCTTCACCGATTGCCTTTCGATATATCTTCAATTGTTGGCAAGATGACATCAGTTAGCAATATGTGTCAGCAATACAAAACGCAAAACATATACATAGATCCAAAAACATGTATATGCTATGTATATCAATAGATGCATCAACATAAGGATTTTAGCCATCGCTTAACTATGCCATTAATCAAGTGTAACTTCAATAATATAATACCAATTAAATAACGGTCGATAGAGATAAAACAGTAGACGATCTGGTTATTACAGTACATTGAATGCAATTCAAAATTAACGTTAATCGTATGATGCTCCTAAATTTCAATTTTATCCTTCAATTAAGGCAATGAGCCTAAAATATGTCAACAATATCACTTTGATAATTGGGCTACATTTTACAGAAATTAGGTATAATAATAAGATACAATAATACGAGAATTGGCTGTGTTATTGAAATTGGATTTCTTCATTGGACGAAGGAGTGTCGAGTGGTTTCGGTGGTGGTAATTGGACTGGGTCTGGCAGTTGTGGCATCACTATCAAATAGGAATAGATAGGGCTATATATTAGTAACGTTCACCTCAAGCTGGAGTAAAGACGGAATCGGATTATGCACAGTAGTAGGACTAAATTGCAATATGGATACTATCCATGGAGTAGCGAAATAGATATCAACTTTACTCTACATCGATTATCAAGATACTGTAGTCCAACCTGGTTTGAACTGTTCTGCAGTCATTCTTGTAATGGCAATGCCAACACCTTCAATTAAAGCCAGTAAGATACCACCTATGCATGATACAGTAAATTGAACATGATCATTTTTGATGATTAGCCAAAAGGATATATTTGAAATTCGTCCTAGAAGCAGTATTGATCATCTTGTTAAAGAAAGTATTTCAAAACTAACTATCAACTCACCTACTGCAGCCGATCGTAGCGACGATGATAAACCACCTATTGGTAACAGGAAAAAAAGTTGCATACGTATTACAATAATAATATCATGTAGGATTAGAATCTGTAGTCATGGTTTTGATACATATGATAAGGATGACAACACCATGATATTGGCCGATGTTATCATGGGATCAAGTACAATGGATTAAGTAGAAAATAATTTGGCAAGATGAAGTAGATAGCAGAGTATCCTACCTCTGGCAGCCAGTACAGCTCCAGTTAAGGCTCCACTACCGATAGAATTCCAAGGATCTTCTTTATTGCGTAGTTTAATTAGACAGCAATCAAAGGTTGAAAAAAGTCCACCCCATACAGCAAAATTTCCTATTTATGGAAACAAGCAATTGAACAGCGTTATTAGTCTACTGTCCACTAGTCTTTTTATGGTTCAATCCACTAACAGCCGGATATAGTCATTACTAGCAGCAATCTGTGCTTTCTTTAGCAACATTAACAATAGCAACGTTTCCTTTACCTCCTAAAACAGGCGCTCTAGTTTTAATAGCGGTAATGCTTCCAACTAATCTCTTGCCCTATAACAAAAACGCAAATACAACTTACTAATTCTATTGGCATTGGATAATGGCGTTTAGCCACTTTGGCATCAACATTGATCGCTACTTTTAAGTGTAAGCTAATGGAGAGTGGATGTCGAGCATTAGCTGGTACGAATTCATGGATTCGTTGGAACACTTGTCTTGCATACTGTCTACATGTTTCTACAATCCATTCATGTATGGAAAGCAGATGTAACGATACGTATGTTATGGTTTACAGCTGCTCCTGGCTAAGACATTGCAAGAGTGAATGGAATGCAACAGATACCTTTAACCAAAATGATTGCATACTACGTCTAACTGGTTTCATGGATGACTCACTAGTCGTCCTAAACAAGGATATCATCATCCTGTAAAACTGTTGTACAAGACAAGAGTATTCCTCCAGCTACTCAAAACGATCTATTTTCTTCCATTCACTAACTCATGCTTCATCGACTGACTTGGCAGAGTACACAATATGTCGTAGACATTTAAAAGTACTTTATCCAATTGAGTCTCCATTAATAAACGTCTAAGCTAGCTTATACCACTATCAGGGTGATGCTGACTCTTTTTATCTTTTGCCTGTGCTATTGGTACTTACCGGAGGGGAATTGCGATAGCCTTTAACAAGGGAAAATACTCCTCCACCGATGCAACCCATGGAAAACGCTCCACCGCAATCATCGATGATTCGATACGGACTATGAAATCAAATAGAACAAGTATTAGCAACTCGTAATCACCCCATGTAACCCTCTATCAGGGTATTTTTACTTTCTTGACATCGAATAAATTACGGACAAGAAAATCAATTGCAGCTCACCAAGGTTCTCTTGCATATTCCTCCATTTTGATTCAATGGCCTGACGTCTATGCACTGGTCACTCCTGTTGTGGTATGACGCCACTGGCGATCGATCGACTGTATCGGTGTCACGTCAATTTCTGAATGCTTGTCCAGTCCAGTACGGTGGTGCTGGTATCTTCAAGTCTACCAACCAACATTGCTGCAAGTGATAGGATACACTACGGTTGTGTTGTGCTGTTCTGGTACCATGACTGCTAATGTTAGGCAGGAAAATATCCAGCCCACACACTTGGGAGCGGAAGCCTGATTGTATGGAGGCAGTCTACCCACTGGAGGAGGACCTTTCAACATGGTCTATTGTAGTGTACGCTCTGGTTGGACGTGACAAATTGTTGCTCTCATGAAATTCCAATTTTACCGACAGCACGTGGCCAGCATCCTGTCTAGTGTCGCTATCCACTGTCACAGTCTGATACTGTGGCGCATACAGTGCATTACAGTTGCGGCTAGCCGAGGCAGCAGAAACTCCACAATGTACAGTGTACAGTGTACAGTACACAGAGTACAGTACTGTATCATGTTGACGCCTGAGCCGTCATACGATTGAAGCTCTCCTTCTGCCTTCAATACGGTCGCCCTCTCCGTAATGATGCAATATTGCCTTGGTAGAGTCTCCAGTACACTGACTACAGTACTGTATGCTACTGTACACTGTACTGTACAATACTGTACTGTAGGCTAGTGAATCAATGTCAAGGGACCTTTCACTGGACGAGTGGACGTCCCAATTCTATCCCGCCATCCCGGCGTCCGTATGGTACGTAAGATACTGAAAGAAATAGCTGCGTATGGGCACTTAACCGAGAGTAGAGAATAAAAACATACTAGTAGACTGCTAACTTACCGTGTCGAGTTATTGCTGCTTCGGCTAGCCTCAACTAGCTTCAACTGTATATGGCAGTCTGATACAGCCATAGCTGAAGCTGATAGCTTCCATCATTGCTATCGGCTTCTGATACAGCCTACAGTCGCTCCCTTTCTGCCTTCAATATGACAATGATGTACTGTACACTACAGCACCCTTATGACGCAATATTCATTGTACTGCCCGAGTCCATCCCACCGTCCGTACCGTACATTCCAGTACGTTGATACATTATGCTGTACTCTAGGCCAGTCAATCAATGTCAGGGACCTTTTCACTACTTCCCAAGTCCATGACGGCGTCCGTACCGTACATTCCATTACTTTGATACATTCATTATACTATAGGCTAGTCAATCAATATCAGGGACCTTTTGACCATTTCCCAAGTCCATGCCGGCGTCCGTACCGTACATTCCAGTACTTCATTATACTGCAGGCTAGTCAATCAATGTCAGGGACCTTTTGACCATTTCCCAAGTCCATCCTGGCGTCCGCACCGTACGGAACACATTCAAAAAGAGAGCTACAAGACCTGCAGTTGTGTATGACTGAGGTCGAAAGAGGTTTAGCCATCCATTCTATCTTTGCGTTTGCAAGAAATAGACTTTCAATTTTGGCTGCAATGGCACGCAGACAGATCAGCACAACCTTGTGCAATGGGCTAGTGATGGCTTGCATGCCTTTTTATTGCAGTATGGAGTCATTTTAGGTCACGAACTACTTCCTGACCAGTTTTCTAGTCCAATGTCAAGCACTTACTTTGAATGGCTTCTACCTCACCAATCCGTCGACACACTGTAGACAATCAGAATCGACCCAACAGCGGGAAGAAATCAGTATTGGATCAATTCATAATTAGAATTAATCTTTAGACATACAAGAAATATCATTACTGATAGATCGACTGTACTGTAAGCTGAGTAGAACTATGCAACGACGACTGTCCATTCTCTAAAGTCGACTGGTGTTGTTGATTTGAGGGGGTAAACAAATCGCCAGACGGAAGCGTTTCCATCTTATAGTCATCCATGACACTGGCATGATCGTTAGCAAGAGAATGAACGAGAACACGATTACATGCAATCATGCCATATCTACAGATGTTGTGGTTTACTGCTAGCCTTGTTTTAGATGGTCAATCGTTGTGGTTTACAGCTAGCCTAGTTTAGCAGTTCAATCTTTCATTGACTGCATCTTCAACGATCGTCTTGTAGGTGCCATTCTGACCCTGATCAAAAGCATCATACTAGGGGAATGGGTTAACCCCTAGGCAATACACAACTCTACGGTATAGTACTATCCCTTCCGTTATTCCTACATGCAAGTTTATACTACATCGGTGAAAGCAACTTGTTTTCAATTCACTTCTTTTATTGCCAATCCATATTGTCATCGACATGATAAATTGTTCACTGTCAATACCATACAAAAACAAAAAAAGAACAATATTCTAATACAAAGGTAGGATCATGGCAATTCTATGTTTATGAGGTACGGTAACCGAGTCCAGTCATGATGGCAGTTCATGTTATCCTTTAAATTACAAGCTTACTAGACTTGTTAAAGCTGCTGTTGAATGCATCAATCAAAACTAGCGATAAAATGGGATAGCAAACATGACATGTAGCTTTTAAAAGTAGCGTTATCAAAGACTTTGCAAAATGATCAATATCATGTTAGCAATACGTCCAAATATGTTCTATAATATCAGCGATGAGTGATCATAACCATAGTTATTTCGAGAAATTGAGAGGAAGAACAGTGATAGAACATCAGGATAGAATGGAACCATTCTATCCGATCGATAATAATTGCTAAATACCAAGTTAAATCAATCCAGCATTAACTAAAAATGAATGCTGATGTCCTAGTTATGACTATCAAGATTGACTGTGGCTATTAGACGAGCGTTGAACCTCCAAATTTAATTTCAAATCGGGTATCGCCCGGACCGGTAGAGCTAAATTGAGTAGTCAATTTTCTCTGTTGGTGGATATTCCATGTAAAAGAAAGAAACAGAAGCAAGGCAAATAAGATACTTTCTACACATGTACCCAATTGGCGATTGTATTAACATATTTAAAGTAATAACGTAGACATCATGTTTTGACGTGATCGAGCATTATACTCTCTAAACCTATTCAAGTAATGCTAGACATACCCTTGAACTTTGCTGATGTAACGATATCACAGTTGTTTTCCTTCGAATAACGATGTTATAGGCTTGTCGTACCTAAATATCCAATGAGAATAAAATGTCAGTGATGTAGCACAGCTTCGTTACCGACATAGACTCTTCTTTCATAAATGGCAACAATGTTTTATCGACGGCGATCACTGCATCTTGAAATAATCCTACAGAAAGTAAACATCTACTATCGAGGTTACGGCTAATGTCCATAACTGATTATAATTATTCTACATCAAGATATCTTATACATATTATTATCTTCTGGCATAGTAATACTACAGTAGACATACGTGCTGCATAAATGAACTGCAGTAGCAAGCTAGTTCACATAAATAGTTAATTAGACTTTCGGTTAGTACACTTATATTTATACTTCTAACACAAAGTAGTCATTAAGTTTCAAATAAGGTATACACAGCGATCTTTAACCTATGTGCATGCCTTACCTCTGAATTAAAAATGCAGTGAAACAGGAAAATAAAGGCCCCCTAGATATTAATTGAAAGAGATCCTTGTTCTATTTCTAGGTGTACATATGCAGCTTTAATGATGGAATATAAAAATTCGCACCTGTAGAGAGTTGCATATGACGAATAAATAGCTAAATATGATGGTTTGTTGTGTTGCAGGGATCAATCCAAATGCCCAAGTCATTCCCAAAATCGGAAATAAGACAGCTGTTGCCTTAACTAAGGATCTATATTCGTGCAAGATACAATTACTTAGTTGGTTTCATTCAAAGCTCTACGCACTATTCTTTCCAATTATACGCTCCATCATCAAGTTATGATAAAGTCATTTTCAAAATTATAATACATTAACTTACTTTGACTTCACAATAAGCGAATTTCTACTTTCACGCGATACTGCTACGTTTGCAGCAAGTGATATTTTAACTACAGCAACCATGATGATGATATTAGCCTAAAAGTTTACAAAATTATTCAAAGTGAGCTTTAGCAATGAGTTGTTTTGGCCTTCTACTGCAATGCCATTCGATCTGATGCGATACTACAGTATACCAGTTTATCCAGTAGCAGCATTAAAATATAATAAACAGATATCGATATTACTTTTTTAAAAGTGTTCTATTCACCGAAATAAAATTTTAAATCGGATCAATAAATGATGTTTAATCTCTTTGGTACGTTAAATGTAATCTACCGACCGAGCTTTTCTCATTTAACTAATCGCAGCTCATCTATTTATGGGATATCAATCTATACGGTAGCTCATAGTTTGTACTTACACATAAAATTGCTATAACTGGAGCAATAAAGGCCCAAATAAATCCATTCTCATAAGATAGCCAGCATCTGATGAAAATTAAAATATCAGTAAGTAATCAAAAGACGTCAAATCATAATAAATTGTTAATTTCGACCTCTCATCCTGGCCGTAGCTATCAAATCTGACGATGGCTGATATCGAAACAACGATAACAGGTATCCCTAATCAATTTAAAATATTGAATAAGATTTTTCAATTACGGTGCTAATTTTATTCACGTAGCTACTATTTGACAGAACATTGAACTATGGAAATCGAGCATAAAATTATGTAAGCTAATCTTTAGTCAATTTCAAATTACCCCATCCAACTCCAAAATAAATTTGCAATTTACTTTTATGGCTGTATACCGCAATAATAGCAAAATATAGATGGATGCCTTCGACTAACATCCAGCTAAATGTTGCCAAATAAAAGAAATGCAATAGAACAGCAGAAATTTGGCATAGTATCTAAACCAATTTCGATAAAAAGATTTTGATTACAAATTGATAAAAAGTAAAGGAATATTACAGTAAACTTCTGCCTTCGCCAGGACTAACCTTATGATTTGCCCCGGTTGTTGCAATAATTAATGATACTTGTGCAACCATAAGGGCAAGTAATAAATTTCGATGGACGATGAATCTTTCACCTTTCAACCTAGTCATCAAGAAATGATACCATTTACTACAATTAAATCTTAATAGGAAATATATGTATTGTAAATAGTTTCAAAGTTGTACTCATTATATTAAATTCAGCATTTATTGTGCACTCTTCATATTACACTACGCATTCATTACCTCAGTAAGCTGTAAACGAACAAAGTCGTCATAATGCAAAAGATTGAAATTCCACTTCCGATATAGGTCATATATCCTAAAATTGTAAAGTCTATCGTTGACACATTGACTACTACCTATTAGGAAAGAGTACAACATTAAAATAAGAATCTTAAACAGATGTTCTCTTTCGCTAATGGTGTCTCAGCAATTCGGAATTAACTTAGATTCTATCTTTCGGCTATATAATTTACCGGCTGTACTTGCAGTAATAAAGCAAAATGCGTTAAATGATCACAAGAACAGGAAGTAACAGTTGAATTGCTGTTGTTGTCGGATACTCTACACCCTGATGATGACCATGAACTAAATTCAAGCAATAAATAAAAAAATAATTATTCTATACAATAAAGAAAGATATTTTCAATCGCTGCATCGAAAACGTTAATAAAGAAATAAACTTTGACAGCAATCGTATTGAAAAACATAGACTAGAAAATTTACGTCGCTTGGTTTTTCCAAAAGACGCAGGATCGATTGCGATCTACAGTAGAAACCTATAAGTAAATTAATGTTCAAATTAACATTAACTTTACATGGCACCTTTTACTTACGCAGAAATATTCAGATTATTGAAGAAGATAAAAGAAAAAAATTTGAAACTAAACTGAGCTAGCAAAAAGAATACTTTAGGATATCACCACTTTACTGCACGATATTAAAATATAAAATTATTATTTGCTACTTTACTGCTGACCATTCTCTTATTCTGTAGAAACAATTTGTCTTACCTGCAGATGTGGAATAGTATAATTTAAGGGAAAATTGCGGTTAATGGGTATATCAGGCGTAACTGTACAAGAAAGGATAACCGATACCAGACTGCCATTCTGATTACTAAGAATTGACAAAGTAAAAATACTATAAGACTAGTAATAGTATTTAAATATTAAGAGCTTATTTAATCTGAAATTACAACACTAGAGAATATGTTAGCCTTCGATCGTAACTGATATAATTTTCATTATTCATATTTCATTAGCCCAAATCAATGTAAAATTAAAAATTCTAGACAACAAGACTATCATTGCAGATCGCTTTAATTTAGCAAAAGAAAACCAGGATATGTAGATGAATCATTATTCCTCGCAATTCGATCTTGTTAATTACCAAGTTTTAATACTATGAAGGAAATATTATCATTTATTCGTAGTTATAAGGAAATTTTAGCTATAATAGATGTTTTCAGCTCTTCAATGTTCCTTTTATACGATACTTTTGCAATGAAGTAATTCGATACTGTAATGGGCAGAGATGTCTCTGCATTTTGTTTCTTATAAGTACAAATCACTATGATTTACTGTAAAATCGAAAATTCACGCTTACAAAAGCTTTATTTAACATTTATTTAATTTACTTCAGATTGGTTGCGTTGGATGAGAAATACTTGGATAGTTCCCGATTTAGAGAAACTTTAATTTTAACAATTGTACCGGGATCTATTATGGATTAAATAACATACAGCAGACTGTTAGTAAATAATATTCTCGAAAGAGAATTTAATAATTTATAGTCTATTAGAATCAATGATTGTCTAAATGAAGTGTGCTATTCTAAAAAGAAAACATTATACAAATTTTATCCTGCACAATCAAATTAACCATGGTTTAGCAGTAAATTTTACCTAAGGATGAAAAAGGTTCTTTAGGTAGCGCAATTGCTGCTTGAGATTCTGTTTCAGGTCCAACCTGCCAGAATAATTCATATCCTGTTTTTGCTAAATCTGCTGCGGTTTTACTTTCAATTTTGAAAGCTGCAATGAATAATTTATTCGCTTAAATTAATCACGCTTGTATCACACTCTAAAAGTAAAATGATTTTAGTATGCTATCGAATGATATAATTTACTATTGCAAGCTTTTGAAAATGCATAATAGGGATGAATAACCGCAGAAAAGTAAACATTGATTCTACTTACCTATCATACTACTTTGTGCTGAAATTGATTGAGAAGTGAATAAACTCTGTCCAATATACTGGCCTAATTTTTCTTCGGCATTCATGACTTGAAAACCCAACTCTGATGTTTGCTATGTTATACGAAATTAGCTGTTTAGGTTTCTATTTAACATTTCCGTCCTGTTAACTTGCTTATTAAATCAGAAAGCTTATTCGCAAACTTACACCGGGTAGATTAGTAGTTTGCATCAGCGTTGTTAAAATGTCAATATATTGCTGTTAATTAAAATGGTTGTGGTTATTAGTGTGAGTAAGAGCATAGTAGCATACTGTTGAATTCAGTTTAGCGGCCTTATAAAGTAAGGTGTAATAATAACAAGTATACTTTCCACCATAAAGTATCTAACCTGAGCTAACTGTTCTTTTTCATTATTTCCAGCTGTTATAAAATTAGTTTTTTCCAAGATACTGACAATTCCATTAATTGCTAGTGTCTTTTGCTGTATAGTTTGATTTAAATTTTGTTGTTGCAACGATAAACCTAAATTCTCTAGAAGCGTAATTGCTCTCTGGATCGATGAATTAACCGATAACCCAGCTATCTAACAAAACCAACGCAATTAACCATTAATATAGCACCTGGCATAACTAAGTTTAGTTTATATTTTAGAGATGATTTAAATGTTTCACTATGCTGGATAATATATTACTATTGACTAATTAGAATGTATTTTTATATCAAGATTAAAAATACTGGATATATTCTTCGAGCACCTGGTATAATTTAATTTAGTTTATATATTAGAGATAATTTAAATGTTTCTTTATGCTGGGCAATATATTACTATTGACTAATTAGAATTTGCTTTTATATCAAGATTATAAATATGGTATCTTCTTACAGTAGAGTAAATAAGAAAAAATGATTTCAATGTACTATATAATATATCTGCGAAATGATTATGTATAAACGGACTAACAGGGTTTATTAAAAGCAAATGTGATGCTACCGGATCATTGATTGAGCTTCCTGAAGTCTAATTTAAACTAGTTTATACGTATCCTTATGCATTAAAATTTCAGCCTAAAGCAATGTCAGTAAGTTGGCTTAAATGTTAATTGCAATCATTGTCTGTTAAAGCAGAAGAACTGTTTACCTGCTGTAAAACAAGGACCGGAGTTAAAGTAGAAGTAGAACTAGTAGAAGAAGGAGTCCCTTCGGATGGTGTTGCAGCAGCGGTTGCTATAGTATTAACAGGATTAGTAGCTGGCGCAAATATAGTAGTTTTAGTGGTTACTGGTTCTGATGATGCTGGAGTTGGACTCGGAGTATTTGTACTTGGAATATTTGTATTTGGATTACTTGTACTTGGAGTATTTGTAATTGAGGATGAGGTATAAAAGCTCAATGACGATGTCGTATTTGTTGTTGTAACCGCAGTAGTACTTGTGATTATTCCTGAAGAGCTGTAGGTTATAGCTAGCGTATTAATATTGGATGTCAGAGTAGCCATACTAGATGTTAGGGCACTTGGTACGGATAAAGGAGTACTTATACTCGATGAAGGAGTATTCTGGCTGGATAATGAAGCAGTCGCACCGAATACAGGAGTACTTGCGATGTCTGCAAATGTACTAGAAGTTATAACCCCAGTAAATTTACTAGAAGTTTCAGTTGCGATCATTGAAGGAACAACTGCAGTTGTTACTGATGGGTTCACATTAGAAACTAGAAAACTTGTACTTGCATCAGAATTAGAAATGGTAGTACTTGTTATATGCGCAACCATACTTTGGTCATGGGATACAGAACTAGAAAGAAATAAACTTGCACTATCGGCTGGAGTATTCGTCCATGATGTCGAGCTACTGCTGCTCATATCAACGATGCTAGTGACTGATAACAAAGCACTTTCTCTAATCGTACTCGAATCTGTTAATAAGGAACTGGTACTTTCTTCCAAAATAGCGGTAGTTGACGAAAAGCTACTGCTCTCTTCAGCCGGAATACTTGCAGTAGTTGTTGGGGGATTTGTCGTTGCTAGAGAAATATCAGTAATGTATTGTAATAAGAGAGAAAATTAGAGTCATCAAACAATGCACAGCAATCCGAACTGTGTCATCAATTTATACCTATATTTGGTGTTGTTGTCGGAATAAAGGAATCTAATTAAGATTGAAATGATAACAAATGTGATCAATTTCACTATTGGAAATAATTTTCCAGCAAACGCTAAAGCTATAGTAGCATCTATGTATTGGCTAACTCTACTAAATTTATATCGACACATAGCTTACCATATTGACAAACAAAGATTAATGGAATTTCACAGCTCATATATACCCATCTATATCCCTCGAAAGTTCGAATAACAAGACCGCAATCGAAATTATTAATGTAAAAGTTATTGTCTTTATCAAAATTAGTATAACTGTTGTTATTTAATATTCGTTGTCCTGTTGCAACCCAAGTTTCATTTTCATGCTGTGGGTGTTCTGGATATTGCCTTAAACCAATCCAAAATGCGCCGTAGGCTCCACCAGTTAGATTAACTAAAATAAAGCTCTCTTTATCCTGTGTTTCGATCGATACTAAGTCTCCTTGATAATGTCGCTTGCAGAATTTCCTAGCATCACCAAAACTGCGAAACAAGGTAATCATTTTGATGCAGGTTCCATTATAATTAATACCATCGTAGGGGCATCCTAAATTATATATATTT